TCCGGTCCGTAACTCTTCAACATGCTGTCAGCTCCCGGTCAGAAAGACGCATTTAGTTCAGAGACCATGAGATGATATTCAGAAAGGATTTTTTTAATTAATTAATTTCAGTTGCCTCTGAGACTAAATCTATGCGTAAAGTCTATAATATCTGCCCATGTGACTTGTTTTTATTATTTGTTTGCTCACCTTTAAACACTGATTTAAATATTGTAATTTTTAAACTGAGCAGTAATTTTACATCCATGGAAACTCAAATGTAATATTTAAAACTTCAATACATAAAATCAGTTATTTAACAATATGAGGTGGTGTTTAATTTATTTTTAACATTGTATTTTTATACATTACTGATTTGTACCGTTAATGTGGCCGTTGAGGGGGGCCAATATGCTTAAGTGGCCCTCGGTGAAATTGAGTTTGACACCCCTGCTTTACACAATGCACTTATACAACATTACTTGTCATCCTGGGAAAACAAGAATCAACATTTAAGTAGGAAAAAACAACCACACCAATACTTTAATTAGACAAATGGGAGGATTAAAATTTCCTGAATTAGTAAAATTTGAGCAAAATGCAGAGCAAAAAATAATATTCTCCAATAATATCCAGGAATTGTTTTAAAAAACGGGAAGTTAAGAAAAAAGTTTAGCTTAAAACAACCAAGTATAAATTAAACTGCTGTGGAATAAAACATAATACTCTTTGAAAGGGAATTAAAACAAAGTATGATTAAAATCTATAAAACGATTTGAATATTTCAAATCTGAAACCTTCATGATTGTTAAGTTTACCCGTCCCGTTCCAGTAGGGGGCTTCGCAGTTTAGTTCAAGTGACCGGAAGTGACTTCACTGCAAACCGGAAGTGTTTTTATATCGGCCGTCAGCTCTCTAGCAAGCTAAATTACTTTTAAAGATAATTCTTCTTTACGATTTTTGGAAATGGACCAACGCGGTGAGTTGAATGTTTAAACTTTTGAGGGTTTTTTTTTTGTTCTGCATGTGGATTTTGGCAAATTAGCTTCAAGCTAATGGAAATGCTAATGGTTATAGTAGCTAATTAGCTCAATGCTAGCTCTTGTTTAGTGCACAATGGTGCTTAATGTTGTAGCGTTTTCATGGAGTAAACTATATGCTTTATGACTTGTTGTTTAAATCAAGCATAACTGGTGATGACCTGCTAATATGGTTTACTTTAAATGTTTAAATCTGTTTTAAATATTGTGTTTATTTGAATATTATACAAAAGTAAACATTAAAGTTTAGTTTTTACTTTATTTACAATAACAAGAACGACTAACTTATGTTCTTTGTCACAATGATGGAGATTTAAAACCTTTTATGCCATTTTGTTTGGATTTATTTGTTGATTCTCAGTATTCTGTTAATATTTGTTGTGTTAAAGAGCAAAAATGGTTTAATGGTAATGAAGTTGTAAGAGTAGGCACTTGTAAGCTGAATAACTTGATCTAAGTCACATTTATGAGTTTTATTTGACATTATTTGAGTCTACTTGAATGCAAACAGATTGTAACATTTTAGATCGATTGAACTTTGGCACTCAGACTCTGATCGCTACACTGCTGGACAGGATACAGGAAAAGAAAGAAAAGAATACAATACAATAGAATACAGCAGGTTTATTTGACAAGTAGTTTTGCTGAAAGTGCACTTTTTTCATCTGCAGTCAAAGGACAGGAAACATCTGGCTCTAGAGAAGTCAAATAACATAAAACCTTTCACTAAAATGGAAAAATAACATTACCTGTGCTAGAATTATACATTTTTTTGGTGTTACATTTTTTCAGTCTGATATTAAAATATTTTTAAAAAGAACATTTTCACCTCCATCTTTTGCACATTCTGGTTTGATTCCTCGCACCCAAAACGTGACAGATCGAGTTCTGCAAAGATTACTGCAACAGGGCTATCAGAGAGCCCATTTTCTGCCGGGTTTCATGCACTGATGGATAAGTTGTTATGTGATCTCTGAATTACTCACTCAGAAGATCATGTAACAACCTCCTTGAGAATGTGAGATATTTTCCTGGCTGCAGTGGAGGGTGAAAAACATCTTGTAGTTACACAGCCAACTAACCTGTAATACTGTTAAGAAAACAGAGCTGCAGAACAAATCCATGCATATGTAAACCTAACACCACTCCTGGCTGAATAAACTGACATTTATAATTCATGACAACAATGTGGTGAGAATCATGTTTCAGATTTTAAGGCGTTTTTTCATGTGTTCACTCATGACAACACCATTTCTCTGTTGTTGTATTGTGTATTGCTTATATTTGAGTTTATTTTCTAGCCTTTCCATGTTTCCCCTAGTCTTTGTCTCCATAACAATCCCATGATTACGTAAAAAAAAAAAAAGAAAGCAAAAGTCACAGCCTGGATCTTAATAACATCCTTCAAAAATCAATTTCAATTTCTCATTTTCGTCAGCATGACGGTCGAACATGAATCGATCATGTTGAACTGACATTTTTCCCTAAAATACCAGCCAATACCAAACGAGAACGACACAGAACCTTCTTAAATGAATTGCATCTTGATACTACTGGCAGTAAGGGAAGAAAATGATAAAACTGGAGGTTTTCTCTTCTTTGTTCTCCTGCTTTCCCAAATTAACTCTAACTTAAAGGTGACCTTGAACAGGTTAGAATAGGTCTATGAACTGTACAAAACAGTTGCTCAATTTTATTCTTAGATAATGAGATTATAGTCTAATCAGTACGCTTGTGTGAAAATATCTGCAAAAAGATGCAAAATTATACAACCATACATCTTTGAAAAGCAGAAGCAGAGCCTCCTGCACAACCAACAAGAATTCAGCAAGTGGTTTCTGGAGGGTAAGTCAACAACAAAACACTCGCCTTTTCCAGCAGTCATCGGAAAACCCAACATACTGGAACTTTACTTGGGTTGGTAAGTAACAGGCGGAACTTTACTTGGGTTGCTAGGTAACGGGCGGAACTGTGCTGGGGTTGCTAGGTAACGGGCGGAACTGTGCTTGGGTTGCTAGGTAACGGGCGGAACTGTGCTGGGGTTGCTAGGTAACGGGCGGAACTGTGCTTGGGTTGCTAGGTAAATGTGCAGTGCGCGCTGAATGTGACTCAGCAATTGTGATCTTTTTGAAACGGCCCATTTTCAAGCTACCAAAAAACATCAATTTATTTCCAAGAAAAAACAGCTGGCTGCTTTTAGAAGCAGTTGGGAAGTACACAAATAGTTCTTTAAAATACGTAAACTATTATGTTGGGCTAAAAATAAGAGATTTGCCCCCTGAAATAAGTCTTGCAAGCAAGATGTGGTTGGCTTGCGGATCTTGTTACAACCCTGCTGACTATTCTGTACCTGTATCAGTAAATTAGCTTCTAAATGCTAATTTGCTTGAGAATTGGCTAATTGTTCCAAAGCAGAGAGAAATTGGATGCATTTTTCTGTAACCTTACAACAGAAGCAACACCGTCTCTTTTCACATAGCGGTGTAGAAACCTTGTTAATGAATACAACCACCAACCTGCTGACTGCATTTCATGTGTTTTCTCTGTGATAAAAATCAAGCCTGGGATAATCACAGCATGAAATTCAACATGTTTAAACACTGACATTGCGTGGTCTTGATGAGGTTGTGAATACTGGTCCCTGTTGTCAAAGCTTTGCTCTCTGTGGGATTAATTTAAAACTAAAAAGGGAAGCAAACTTATTTTTAGACAACAAGAGAATTTTTCATGTTCAGATGAAGCGATATAACCTAAAAAAACACTTTTTAGTTTGCTGAAGCTTTGCTAAAGAACCTTTCTTGTATAGTTTAAATTATTTTTATTAATATCTTTAAAAACATGGTTTAAAAAATTAAGAGAACAGATAAAAACCAGCGTCATTAAGATCAAAATATAAGACATGGTTACTGCAGATGTGACTTGCATACAATACAGAACCCTTACAAAAATAATCATAGTTTAAAATGCTACAGGGTAGAAAAAAGAAAAAAGCAAACCAAAGATGCTACAGAAATTAGAAGAAAGAAATTAGACAACAAGTACAGATTGCAACTGTTTTAGCGAGAAGGTTTGATTCCAGACATTTGGTGTTATAAATGGCCTATGATTATTTATTATTTTTGTTCATGGCTGACCTCTTACGTCTGGCACCTTGTTGGGCACCTAAGGGTCCTTAGGAATATATGTATGGCGCTGTTGGCGGCAATTATCCTTCTATGAAGATAAGTGTCTGCGTTTGTGACGAAGGTGAGTTATAACGACGCGTTAAAGATGCTAATTATCACTTCGATATGCAAACGGGAGGCCTTATTTTGGCGCTAATGTTAGCTAATGCTTTGTTGTAACTTGTTTATTTAATGTTTCTAATTTGAGCTCTACCGTGACCAAGTATTTGATGCTAATGGGCTAGCCCTCCGACTGTTGTTTTTAAGCTGAGCATATAGCATTAGCTTATAAATAATGCAGTGCTATATTACTGGTTTATTTCTGCTACTAGTATGTTTGCATGAGAGCTACAAATGAGCTAACTTGTTACCCATTTTAACAAATGGCAAAACTGTATTTTCTTCTTCCTTTTACTGTGAAAGGTAGAAAATGGGGATTAGACCGCTTTAATCAAATTCTGTACCAGTTAAATGAAACTACAGTTCGTTTGGGGAGGTGTGAATGTGCAGTCAAACTGATAAGAACAAAAAAACAACAAACTAAACAAATGAAAAAAGAAAAATACTGCACTTTTTTGTGACAGTGAAGACTGAATTGAAAGTTCTCCCATACTGCTGTTAAGGGTGAAACTAATTTCAAATTTTCAAAAATTACATACAATGTATTTTTTTAAACTTTTTTTTTATTTATTTTTCAATATTAATTAAACATGTTTCTTTATTTCAATGGAGACAAAATTACGAGGACTTATCAGGGCCTGACTAAGAGAATTTTGTTTTTTGAAATTATGAGAGTAACGTTGAAAAATTACCAAAATAAAGTAGAAATTTTATGACAAGTCCTGCAGGAAAAAGCCTTAGTCTTACTACAGCAATAAAATGAGGAATGTTGAGCATTTTGTGAAGTTATACGTTGGTGTCTGTTTTAAAAATAAAGAATTACTTAACCTTTTAATAGTGTCAGGTTATTATCAGTAGCAGGACTTTGTGATATTTTGAAGACTCTATCAAAGCTTTTTTCTCTTTAAAATGACTTTTTTCTCATAATATTGCATGTTTTTTTCTGCTAATATTATGATCATAGTCTTATAATGCTAAGACTTTATTCTCATGATTAAAATATTATTCTCTTAATCCAGTTCTAGTACTCGGTTGTACAAAATCAATGATCTGAAAAGCTGCCTTCATATATATATATATATATATATATATATATATATATATATATATAAAAGTTACACTTATAAGATCTGAACTCAATACTTCGGACACCCGCTGATTTTATTCTTCACTTTTCTGCTTGAACACGTCAACTTCACACACAGCTGAGTGGTTTCTTTTAAATTCAGCTGTCTGAAATGCAGGAATATAGTTATCTTACAGTCTTGGACCGATTCTGAAACGCTTTCTCAAAGATCTTTTTACCTCCGTCTATAATCAACTATTGATTACCGGGTCTAAAAAACCCCACACCCCTCTGCCATACCACCCTTTCCATCACTGCTCTCCACTTCACCCTTGTTTCTCAGTGAAAACCATCACATTTTCACAATGGGAGACGTGTAATCTGCAGCATGAGACATGGTGGCACAGAAGTTTGTAGAGCCAAGACAGCTGCTCGCTTCTCACAGCTGTAATTGGTAGACCAATGCTGCACCGTTTGACAGATTGTGGAAGATAGTTTCCCCAGACATTCTGTAGAGATGTACAACTAGGGCCTGGCTGGATGTGACGTGAACACATTTTACATCACCAAATATAACATCTCAAGAAAGTCTACAGGTGGCAGCTCCTTCCAACCGAGAGCTTCAATTCTTTATAACGAATCAGCGATGTGGGCCACTTGCATGTTTGATTGAATTTTCAGACTTTATATCTATCTTCCGGAGCCACTTGGGAGGCCACAAGCTAAGGTAAAGGTAATAATTACAAGTACGGCTGACATGAAACACAAGTCTTGTCTATGTATTAGCAGGAACAACTTTGTACGGTTTTGAGAACATTTCTTTTGCACATTTTTGTACTTCAATCCGGGTCTCAACTGCTTCTAAAAAAGCACAGGTTCTTAAAAAAGAAACTCCTACACGTTTTCTGGCAATAAGTTAGTGTTTTTTGTGTCTGGAAAATGAGCCTCTTGATTAAATTGCATTCCACAGGCGCTGCGCCATTACCTAGCAACCCAGCAGAGCTCCAACACTTTTGGTCAACTGGTTTTATCACCATATGTGTTCTATAAGTGTTTTGTTGTTGACTTACCATGCAGAAACCACTTTCTACATTCTTTTTGGTTGTACGGGAGGCTCCACTTCTGCTTTTCAAAGATGTACGGTTGTATAATTGCGCATCTGTTTGTAGCCATTTTCAAGTACGAATGTAAAAGTTGACAAAAAGCCCTAAAACCCTAAAACAGCTCAAAACTAACATCTCATTATCTAAGAATGATATTGTGCAAAAAATGTAATGAAGATGTTTTGTATAGACCATAAACCTAACCTGTTTAAGAAGCATAATAGGTCATCCATTTAAAGAAAGTATATTTCAGAATGTACCCACAAGCTAACTTTGCTTTAGCTAAACTTACACAGCCAACAGCAGCATTTTATAAAACTAATATCTGGAACTTTAGCAGTATGTTACAATTTAAATTGTTTACAGAGTTGGACTTTCCACCATTTTAAAAACACTGCAAATCAATAAATCCATAGTCAAACCTTGAGGTCCAAAACGTTTGATGGATTCTGGTGGAAGAGCACAAGCATCGTCAACCTGCAAAGATCAAAAATACTGAGACACTTTGGAGAAATTAACTGCATAATTTCCATTTTGATTTTATACCTAACCATGTTTTTTTTTTGTTTCTAATTGAATATTATGTACAGCTTTCAGTTGACCTGAAGCTTGTGGCTTTAATGTGAGCAAATGCTAAGTATATCAGGGTGCATGACTAATTTTGAAAGTAAAACAGCCATGATCCACTTAGTTTTCTCTAAGGATTACATTACTTTTAATCTGGCTGAGTAAAAGCCAAGATGAAGGCTGACAAATGATATTAGCTCAGTGTATGAATACTTTATAGTACTCAGATTAGATCTCAACCAGACAGTTGCATGACTAAAAGAGCAGAAATGTCACATTTTTCATTTTAAAAAGAATAAAGGTAGTTGATCTTTCAGAATGTGGACATAATATTTCATTTTCTTCATTTTTAAGGCTGATTCCAGGTTTAAAATTTAAGGCAGCAGGTGAAAGTCAAAAGGTTTTTAGGGAGAGATAGAGAGGCACTGAAGTATACATAAAAAGGAAACTAGTCTGCATCTGTTATCTTATCCATTACACTAATTGTGTTTGTCTAGCCGTAGCGCTAACTTTTAGCATTAGCAGTAGGTCTTAGTCTTCTACCAAAGACAACTGCTAAAATCTGACGCCACTCCATTTTTGTTTCCATTACAGAGCTTTTCATGTAATTTTCCCCCCGGGGTTTTGGAGCAGCGCCACCACAGGTGAGGAGGGGAACAGGTTCTAGTTTGAAACCGCACCAACTGAAAATGTAACAAATGTTGCAATTCTAGACCCCATTATAAAAGCGTATCAGCTTGCACCGCTATTTGAGTAGCTGTAAACTTCTCTAGCTGTTAGCCTGAGCTGCTGCAAACTTTCTGTCAGCTGCTACCACAAGTAGCTCTTAGCTATATTCATTGTAAGCTTTATTTATTTTGCTTGTAGCTTTAGTAGTTGTTAGCTCAAGCAGCTTCAATAAGCAAACAGAAGCTCAATTGAACAGCTTTTAGCTTGAGTGACTGTTAGCATAACTAACTCTATTTTAGTAGATATTTATCCACTAATTTGATTAACTGTTAACAGTATCCAGCAGCTACTTGTGCTAATAATTATTCAAGCTAACAGATGAAATGTTTGCCGTTTCATAGCTGATTAGGAGCTATTCAAAAGCTACCATTTCATCTGTTAGCCTGAACAGCTGTTAGCACAAGTAGCCGTTGACTTCTGTAGCTTTAAGTAAGCATAGATGCTCAATTGAGTGGCTCTTAGTTTGAAAAACATTAACTTGATTAGCTGTTAGCATGAATATCTGTTTTACCTTGAGTAGCTGTTAGCTTAAATCTCTTTAGTGGGTAATTTAGTTGTCTGCTAGTGTGAGTAACTGCTAAAGGTAGACTTTAAATAGCTCTTAGTTGGATTAATGAAATTATTGTAGCTGTACTTGTTAGCCTGAGTAGCTTTTAGCATAAGTACGCTAAAAGAAATCCGTCTGAGCAGATATTTTTATTTTTTTCTCTTTGTATTTTATTGTAATCTTAAAAATACTAGAACATTTAAACAGTATAACAAAATAATACAGATTGAAAATACAGTTAAACTGCATTGTGCTAGACTGCTTTGACTGCTATTTGCAGAAAAATGCTTTTGAATAGTTTTTGGCTTGTGTAGCTTTCAGTAACCTAACCTAACCCTGCTGTAGCAGTTTCAGTTTGGAGAAGACGGTAAAGTGGACAGTACTGAGTGCTAAGCAAGTATAAACCGTAAACACTATGTTAGCAAGCCTACAATCACATATGGTTCCTGACATGTTTACATTTCAAAACTTTTACTGCTGTACCTCAGAGATTTTTCAAAAATCTGCAAAACTGAGTTCCTTTAAGTGCTTTTTCAAACTCTTCGAACTCCGACGGTAAAAACTGTAATTTAGCTTTGCAGAACCTATGCTACTCACTCAACGTTGACACCTTGGAAGAAAGACGTACTACAGTCTGGAATAAACACATCATAACAGAACAATTGTAGGCAACCAGAGACCATCTGCAGTGTTTGGGAGGTAAAATAACTGGGTTTGCCAGTGCAGTCTGGTGGCTTGGAAGTGTGTCTACATGGGTGTAAAAGCATGAGCTAACGCAGGAAAAAAACACTAGGTAGTCAAAGTTTTAGATTTGGTCAGAAGTTTACATATGTGTTAGTTTTAGGCTTCAAATGTTGCATTTGAATATTAATTAATGGTGCTTAGAATCAATAATTTGGTCAAGTATTTTCATTTATTTAGGATTTTATTTTTAATCCATACTTTTGTTTTTTTTTTTTGCGGTGACTGTGTGTCACCGCAATTACAGGCCTACAAACACAAATAAAGCTCCTGGAAAACATTACCATTTGTAATTTGCTTCTTCTGGACACCAGTCGAATAAAGAAACGTGATTTGTGTCACTAAGCTGTAGATGGTAACCATATTTTCAAATTTATTGGTATGTATTGATGCTTTCAGTGAACAAACGGTGCAGAAAATGGTAAAACTTCATTAATTGGAATTTATAAATTAAAGGCACAAATATAAACATACAGAACTTTGGTGAAATTAGATCACTGAGCTTTTTATATTGTTTTATACTTTAACTCTCACCAATTGCTTCCTGACAGATTATTTCACTTATTACAAGACATTTTTTCCCATAAGTTAAATAATCTGCCAGTGGAACTAATACTTTTTATCAGTATTAAGGAATTATTGACTTAAAACAAGCTATTATGTCTTGCTGAACAGTTTCTTGTAAGTTATTTTTGTCTTATTTCAAGCGTACTATAAGATATTTGTAGTAGAAACCAGAGAAATCTCCTTCAGACTAGCAACAGCACCAATTAGCAAACTGCGAGTCCATTGAGTTTATGTGAATTACTTCTTATTCCAACGATGTTAAAAGGTTTATGGAGAAAAGTTGTTGTGATGACGTCATGAAGGCGGAGTTTCGGAAGGAACAGGAGCTTCTTAAAGGGACAGAGTCCCAATTTCAAAGTGTTAATTGCGAAGTCATATTTCCTCTGATATACTTTCAAAGTATTAATATTGATGAAGAGTCAGGAATGTGAGGCTGCTTGCTTCTTTAGATTCTTTGAATAAAACAAATATTACAGAAATAAGATTTACAGATTGAGATTAAGTGAGTAGCAAAAGGTACAAACTCGGATAATTATGCAGTGAATTTATAGAAGTTTCAACAAAGCAACTTTATGTCTTAGTAAGAAATCAGCTCAAGCTTACATTTCTAAATCACTTTTGATTCATCAGCTTTAAATGGATCCAGCCATGATTTTTCCTACTACACATCTTTTATAACTGTTTCCTGTTTCAGCAGGCTTCAAAATAAGAGCTTCTTGTCTAAACATGTTTCTTGCAACTCCTAATAGTAAAAACTTCCTGCAAAGGTAACATGGTGTTTTTTTAACATATAAAACATACTCAGGCATAATGCACATAATTCTTTATAACAACTGACGGTAAAATAGTTATCTTATTGTGGTATAAAATGTCTGTATGGGCCTGGAAAATATATAATACTGCCCATTAAAGTTTGTTTCAAGAGTCTGTTGAACTCCAACCAACTTCGTCTGAAGAGAATAAGGAGAGTGAAGAGACTTACCTGTACAGACAATGAGATTATCCAAACACAATTAAACTCTGGGGCCTCGTCTTGCAAGGTTTGAACCCATTTCCTTTTCATCCGTAACTTCCATCCTTTACCTCCGCGCCTCATTGTTGTGTGATTAACTCCTGAGCACCAACGGGGGAGTCTATAGTCCCATTACCCGGATCTCTGGTCGGGACAAAACATTTGCTAATCGCCAATCACGAGCAGGAGCATGCCTCTCGAATCTCTGCCAGCTCTATAATGTGAGAGTTGGCGCCGCCAGCTCCTTGAGAGAGAGCCGCTGTCTTTCTGCAACACTTCATTCGCTCAAATGCATTTAGCTTCTGCCGCCACGGTGTTTCACCACGCAAAGCCTCCAACATGGAAAGTTCACTTTATCCCCAGAATGGGATTTACTTTGGGGAGCTAGACGGATGTCAGCGACACAAACAGCATGCTGTAATTTAATTTCAGCAGCTGCATACCGGCAGCGGCGACGGAGGATTATTTGGGACCTCGTAGGTGGAAAAACGAGGACATTTCTGGCGAAAAGCTCAGAAAATTTAAAAAAATTTGCCTCTAGAGCAGGGGTGGCCAAGTCCAGTCCTCGAGAGCCACCATCCTGCAAGTTTTAGAAGTATCCTTACTCCAACAGACCGGGATCAGCTCTACAGAGGCCTGATAACGAGCCAGTCATTTGATTCAGGTGTGTTGAAGCAGGGATGCATCTGAAACTTGCAGGATGGTGGCTCTCGAGGACTGGACTTGGCCACCCCTGCTCTAGAGAGTTTTTTTCTAGAACATTTCTGAGAATAATCTCAACATTTCTGAGTTTTTTCTACCAAATTTTGGAGTTTTGGAGCTCGGAGATTTTCAGTTGTTTTTTTTTTTTTTTTAAACATCATTTTAGGTTTAAATTTTAGACTTTTGAAGCTCCAGAAAAAAATATATATATTTTTTTCTAGAAATATTACTTTCTGACTTTCAAAGTTTCTACCAAATGTTTGACTTTTTAAATCTGAAAATTTTCAAGTTTTTTCTCAAAGATTTCTGAGATTAATCTAAAAAGAGTTTTTTCTATCAAATGTTGGACTGTTGGAGTTCAGTAATTTCTAAGGTTTTTTTTCTAGATGATTTTAGAGTTTTTTTCTCTTGCAGATTTTTGACTTGAAGCTCCATAAAAAATATTTTTTTTCTGAGTTTCAGAAGTTTCAAATTTCTGACAATCTTAAAATTTCAAAGTTTTTTCTACAGTAAATTTCTGAGTCCTCAAACTCAGAAATTTTCACATTTTTTGTAGAAAATATCTAAGTTTAATTTCAACGGTTTTTAATTTCCATGTTTTCTTTTCTAGATATTTTTTTCATGCCCATTTTTGACTTTTGGAGCTTCATGTTTTTTCTAGAAATCAGTTTCTGAGTTTCAAAAGTCCACATTTTTGGAAATTTCTGAGTTTTTTTCTAGTGAATGTTCAATTTTCCAAGTTTTTCTTAAATATTTTTAGAAAGATTTCTAGAGTTTTTTCTAGAACATTTTTTGGCTTTTGGAACTCGGAAATTTCCAGGTTTTTTTTTTTCTAGGTAATTTTTATTTTGCAAATTTTTGACTTTTGAAGCTCCATAAAAATAGATTTTTTTCTATAAATATCAATTTCTGAGTTTCAAAATTCCATTGTTTCTAAATTTCCAATTTTTTCCTGACTTTTTTTTTTTTAGATAAGTTTAAAATTTTTGAGATTTTTGTCATACATTTACTCCTCTTTTCTACAGTGGCCCTAATACAGTGTCATATTATTTGAACAGATAGCTGCACGGTGTCATTTTGCTTTTAGTAGAGCATTTTTACCTATTTGGATCGTACGTGTGCAGAGACTGCAGTTGGCATGAAGGCATCAAAGCAAGAGAAAGTGCTTTAGGCTTTCAGGTGGGTATTGAATGGTTTCTTCTAACTGTGAGTGTGATCTTAGCTACAAGGTTCTGCTGGATTCCTGCAGAAACATGAGACCCAGGGATGTTCTTATTTTTGTTTTGTGTCTAAACTGAACTAAACTCCAGCCACAGCAGTGTCGGTGTCTGCTCAGCTAGCTCCTGCTGATAATGAACTACTGCTACTGCAGGCGCAAAGCGGGAAGACAGCTGAACTGCGCCAGGCTCGGTGAGAGCTGAAAGGCCTGCTGAGAACAATGGCTGACATGAGGAGAAACATGCAGGATCACCACCTGAACTCCTGAAGGAAGGTAAACAAGTTCAGGTTTATTCACAGCTTTCTTTACCTGCTAGCTAAGGTTTGTTAGGGAACCCTGGAGAATCTCACCAAGTCGTCTTGGTATAGTTTCTGGGGCAAATATCTTGGTATGCTTGAAATAAGTCAAACATATCTTAAAAGTAACTTTTCAGCAAGAAATATGAGTCCAGGTCAATAATTCTTTAATATTGATGGAAAGGTGGCAGATAATTTCATTTATAAGAAGACAGTTCCAAAGCGTCAGTGGAACTAGAACTTTTTCCACAATATTAAGGAGTTACTGACTCAAAACAAGAAGTTAGTTTTGTCTTATTTTCATTATGCTCAGATATCTGCACGAGAAACTAGAAAAATACTTGGTAAGACTTTGTAATAAAGCACTATTTAAAGGGAAATAAACTTTCCAACAGTAAAAAAATGTTCAGGACAAGAAAGAATTAATTGACAAAACACAAAAGATTTTTAAGTTACTACTTACTAATTTTAGGCCTGATAAAGTAAATTCAGCTTATTTTAGATGCATTTTTTTTTACTTTTTCATTATCAATATTCAAACTAACTTCATATTGTAGGAATCTGAACTGAAGTCATGAATTTCTTTGTACCTAAACAAGCGAATTGGTTATTTTGGTAACTTTCTCTGCCATCACTGCATATTACAGAAATGGATCGTCCCATTGAGTGATTAATAATTTTCCATGTCTTATATGATCCCGGTCTGTTCAGCGTGTGTTGTAACACATTCCCGAATGTATTTGTTAATCCAAAATAGCAGCATAACGAGTCTTTTAAACTACATCAATTCAGCCTGAGCATTCTTAATTATGATATGTAATGAAAATGATAATTGATGAATTGACTCGTGGCTGGGTAATGAATTGCTTTCCATGCACGTTTTATGCCAATTCTGCCCTGACTTTGAATAAACCCTAATTATCAACATTAGTGAATGTCAATGCCTTAATATTTAATAAATCCTGGATAATCCCATAGCAATCAATTTAGATCAAAATCGCTCTCCACCAAAAGGTAGAAAGGCTCTGCAACTCATCCACTGTTCACCATAATGATGCCTATTTATATGCAGGAGCTTTTTCAAACTGCACGATGGATAATTACTTTATTTACTTCTAATCATGTCAATGAACCATTGTGCAAGGGTTAGATTGCCGGAGCTCGTTATAATTAATATTTTTCTCTTTTCAGTATCATACTAGGGGATTTGGTGGAGCAAAAGGCCCGGTTTGAATGGGATTTGGTCAGTATATGCCTCAGCATGAGATGGAAATAATAATTGTTTCGTATAGCTCAGTGTGACATAATCATGAAAACTGCTATTCATCTCTTTGTCCCCCATTTATGGCTCTAGGTGGCTTTAAATAGATTTGTCGAGCCCCTCTGCATTCTGCTAAAACGAAAAAAACAAACAAATCTTGTTGTGTTCAACAGCATGAATACTAATCTGGAATTAATGTATGAGAACAATGCAATATTTACATTAATTTCATGCAGAGTCAATATTTATGCAGCTAATGTTTAGTTCAGTAATTACTGACGTTAATTTAATTTATTGCCGGTAATTCGGTCTGCTTTTATCATTTGTTTGCGCAGTGATTACACCCCGGACCATTCGACTTTCCACTCCTTCAAAGGGGAACAGAAGTAGGTTCATGGTTTTGAGCAAAACTGAAAGAAACTATAGTTTTAATAGTTTCTTTCAGGGAAACTATTAGGATTCTCTTTAATCTAATAGGTTTAAAGGGAACCTATTATTAGAAATTCACATTTTGCACATTTTTGTACTTCCATTAAAGTTTCTATTGCTTCTAAAAACAACCCAAGCACTTAGAAAAAACCACCCAGCTGTTGTTTAGCAATAAGTTAATGGTTTCTGGTGTCTGGAAAATGTGACGTCACAAACCAGCAGGCACTGCGCCGTTACCTAGCAACCCCAGCAGAGTTCCACCCGTTACCTAGCAACCCCAGCAGAGTTCCACCCGTTGTCTAGCAACCCCAGCAGAGTTCCACCCGTTACCTAGCAACTCCAGCAGAGCTCCAGCACGCTCGGTCAATCGGTTCTGATCTAAATGTAGAAAAAGTAACAGATGAATTGAGAAGATGCAAAGCTGGAAGAAAACCAAATCTAGAAAATCTCTGTGAGGTTTTCAGGGTTCCTTATTTTTCCAGACTCACTTTTATGACATTTCTTTTAGGTTTTATTACATTCTGGTCATTTCTGTTTAAATCAAAATTCACTTTTTGCACATTTTCATACTTCAGTTTGGGTCTCAACTGCTTCTGAAAACAGCCCAAGTGCTTAGAGAAACACCTGCCTTTTTTGGCAATAAGTTAATTTATTTTGGTGTCTGGAAAAACTTTAAGTCATAATTAACAGGCACTGCGCCGTAACCTAGCAACCCAAGCTGAGCTCCAGCAAGTTTGGTTAGCTGGTTTTACCGCTATATGTGCTGTACAATAGCTGATGGAAAACACAGGTGTTTTGTTGTTGACTTTTGACCAATCAGAAAGCCCAGCTGCATTCCTGTTGGTTGTGCAGGTGGCTCCACTTCTGCTTCTCAAACATGTACAGGTGTATAATTGTGCGTCTCTTTGCAGCCATTTCCACATGCGAGTGTAAACTTTGAGTTGGGGGGGGGGGATACGGACAGAAGCAACTTATTTGAATTTAAAGTGACAACAGCTAGTTCTGAAAGGGGCTCAAAATCTCAATATCTGAGACTGAATTTGTGCAGAAAATGTAATGAACATTCATAAAATGCACTGTTCCAATGAAATGAAATCAATAAATCAATTTGTAAGGTATGTTCAGGGTGTTTTGCTACATGGTTTATGGAGCTTTTCATGTCTTTATCACATAAAATACACATCATTTGGAGGCTATAATGAGAAAAAGGTGAAAAAGCTCCATGGCACTGTACTTCTGTGGGCGGCCCACTGTCTTATTAGTGAAAAGAAACCTCGTCTGCTTTTGAGGAAACTGTCTTCCGCTCCCTGGGCTCCACAAAGCAACCAAAGGAGCAACGGAAAGAGGTGAAATATATGCAATATATGCACAGTTCAGGAAAATGTATGCATCCTCTAAAACCAGAAGGCAGCAGATTTATTCCAGATTTTGCAAAAACAGAAACGCAAGCAGATTTACGTCTAACTTCTGCACTGGTACTCTAATAAATGGAATACTAACCCAAAACCAATTAAGCTTTTCACCATGACCGTCTCCTCTCTCTGGGGGATTTTGTGCAGCAATAAGTTTTTAATTGCTGTGGCCCCAGTCTTTTTTATCTCTCTTTTCATCTCTGTATTGCAACGTTAACGTTAATTTGCTCGACTCGCAGTCGAAGAATCAGCGACTTTAATGAGGGGTTAAAATAATCAGATGCTTACCTTGGTCACCACTGAGAATACAGCAAATTTGAAAAGTACCCTATTAAATGCAAGTTTTTTTTCTTAGAAATAAAGACAAACTTGTGTTTCTTTTAATGGGGGTTTAATGAAAATGTTTCCTTCTAAACGGACTGTGAAATCAGAGTTTAAAGGACTCGGAATGATGTAAAGCAGCTGATATTAAAACCCAGCGGAGCCATTATTTGAGGGTACCTAGATAAGCAATGTCTCTGATTCCAGAGCAAGTGGGATCCTCGGCTATCAGATACAATAAAAGAAGACAGTAGGAAGAGCCAGTTAAGCTCCGTGTCACAATCCTTCCCATCTCCAAACCCAAAGTGAGGTTTTTCCGCACTCTCCCTGAATTTCTCCCTTCAGAAATTACCATTTACCAATTACACGGTGTCAGGAGTGATTCATATCTCTTTAATGAGAAATGACAGTAGATAGAGGAGAGCCACCTCTGGTCTGATTTCACTCCCAGTGGGACGGGATGAGCTGTTGACAGAAGCGGACGGCAGACGGAAACGGTGGGAGAGGAAGCCGTCAGTTGGGTCGTCGATGATCCGACGGGGGAACCGCAGGAAGGAGGAGAAAACCTCTCAATCACCGACCCGCTGTCCCAAAATGAACCTGGGCTTAGTGGTTATTATATCCTTGAAGGGATTAATTTTGAGATGTTGCTGGATTTTTTTGCACGTCTTAGATTCTCTGATCTCAGTTTTATAGGCTTTAGAAACATCTGTTGTTCATTTAAGCCTTAAAGGTGACCAATTATGCTTCACTGAACAGGTTAGGATATGTTTGTGGTCTATAAAACGATGTTTATTACATTTTTTGTGCAAAATATTTCTTAGATAATGAGATTTTAGTCAGAATGAGCTGTTTTAGGGTGTCTTGTCACTTTAAATCCAAATTGGCTGGTCATGCCCCCAACTCAACGTTTACACTTGCACAGGAAAATATCTGCAAACAGATGCGCAATTATATAACGGTACGTGTTTGAAAAGCAAAAGAGGAGCCTCCTGCACAATCAACAATAATGCAGCAAATGGTTTCTGGAAGGTAAGTCAACAACAAAAGCAGTTGTAGGATTTCTCTTTTGTCTTTGGTGAAAGATCTAGAGCCATTTCTGCCCCTGGACTCTCGCATTTGTTTTGGTTGTTTTTACCCAGAATGCCCTGCGCTGTCATCCACTTCCTGCATTTGGAGCGGCCTCCAATCCATTTGGTGTTCACATATACAGAGTTAGCTTTTTTGATTCACCTCCCCAAACGAACTGGATTAAAGTAGATTCTACAGGGCTGATGAAATTAAACCCTTGTGATGCCTTAAGCTTGTTTCTTTACCACTGGACTGGCAGTTTCTATGGAGAGATGTCAAACATCTAAGAAACTTTTCTGAATCCTGTCATTTACCTTCTTCTTGATGTCTCAGCGGCTCAGCATTGCCACATTCACCTTTAGAAACAGACCTGTGAGTAATGTTGCGATCAAATTAGGTAATAAGTAGTTGACCACCTGCCGTGACTGCTGGAGGAAAAAATGTCCTGTGGCTGGAGAAAATAATTTTACACCCAATCAGCAA